GCCGGACCCAACTACCTGCGCCGTGAACGCTGCGCAGGGACTGGCTCTTGGAGATAAGAGGAGTATGCTTCGGAGTCCCGGGGGGCCAGGAAGCCAGGCTTCTCCCCTGCAGGAAGCTGGGGGTGGAACGGTGGAGCTCAGACCTTCCACTGGCTCCTGAGCTGACCCCATCTCTACCTAATTCCAGAAATAACCTCACCTCTGATCTGTTACTTCTGTGACCCTGTCGCTGATAGGATCACATTTTGACCTCTGATCCTGGGCTTCTGACAATACTGTCCTCTGCTGATAGGATCACATTTTGACCTCTGATCCTGGGCTTCTGACAATACTGTCCTCTCTATGACCTTTGACATAACAGCAATCTAAGCTTTGCTTCCTCTCTAGTTTTGTCCTTGAAATCTGACACAGTGTGCCCCTTGACTTGGTCCTCTCTGTAACCTCTGCTTCCAATCTGCTTGAGCTTGACCTCTGCTCACAGTGGTACCCTCTTCCTTCCCAATCTGACTCCCTCTTGTCCCCAGTCTCTGACCTTAAACTGAGCCTGTCTCGGCCTCCTGAAAGATCATAGTCCCTGACTTCTGACCCCAAATATGACTCTGCCCATAACCCTGGACTCCATCTGACCCTGGGCTCAATCTTCTTACAGTATGAACCTGTCCCTGACCCTTGACGATGCATCTTAATAACTGATCCTGACCTGACCTCTGATTTGATCCTATCCACAACCTCTCACTGAAATCTGCCCCTCATCACTGACCAATGTCACTTTCTCTCTCTGGCCCCAGATGTGACCTTTTCCTGACTTCTGTCATGCATAATCCTCGCCTTGGATTCCAATATGACCTTGTACCTGCCCTCTGGCCACACTCCATTCAACACTTGTTTCTGACACTGACACCAACATGATGTTGTCTCTGACCTCTGATGTGATCCTGCCTTCACCTCTGACCCCAGTCTGACCCTGTGCCTTTGGCCCTTCCCCTGCTCCCTCCCAACCATCAGAATTGGACCAGACTTGAGGCAAGCAGGTTACC